GGGGTGGAAAATAGGAGTCGGTCGAAGCGCGGTAGGGCACATTTACATGATATGAATATAATGGAGAGGGCTGGGTCGCCGGCAAACTCGGGCTACGGAGAGAGCGCTACCTGTTGAACGAAGAGTCCGGGGATCACCGGTGACCCATAGGATGTGCCCCGGGGTCGTCGCTATAGGCTTGTTGTCGGGCTACTAACGGGTTATCGCGCAAACCCTGGGCTACTTATCGAATGATCGACGGATCGGCGTGATCGCGAAAATAATTTGCGGTTTATTGTTCACGCACAAGGATGGCACACAGCGAACTCTGAACAAGAATCATTTATTGTATGGAATAAAACTGAGATTTTAAATTATATACACAGCGTAAATAATATACGAGATGCGCTTTTCGTTTTACAATGTAATTTCACGCTTCGAAATATTTTATTTCCGACGATGTCGACGGGTTTGTAACCTCCTCTCTCGAATAATTGTTCGCGCATTTCTTGTGTTCTCACACCAATAATTATCGTCGCTCGCGCGAGCATGACGTACCGTATATATGTTCGTATATAACGAGATAACGATCTTTACTCGGCTTTCAAATTAAATAGGATATGTTTCCACAAGAGCAATGTGTGTGTGTGTGCGCGCGCGCGCAGGCGCGTATTTACGTTTCGCCCTTCGCATCCCATCTGCCTAATTAAGGGTTATCCGAGTATGTCTAATAGTATTTCAGCGTGCTATATCGCGTTGCCCACGCCACGTCTCGGGAACGAAGACAAAATCCTTTATGCTAATAAATATGTATAAAGTGCGCGCGCGTCACACACCGACGAAAAAAAAAATCCGGATATGTGCTTTCTTCTTCCCTTTCCGCGATTTCACGGAGGCGATTTCCCCCGTCCCTTCAAAATGTCTCTCACGCAAATAGAAGATCCCTGCCTGCTCACGCGAACGGAATCTGTTAGATTCCGCGTGAGGCTTACATTCCTACGATAATTTTTCGACTCGAGTGTCGCACTAAAGAGAGACAAAATATACTTACAGAGACGGCGCCGGTTACAAAAAACGCTCTCAAGCCCGGTTGCCTTCGTGAGACACGCGGAAAATACAACGATCGACCGCACCGGCGATTCGCATGATTTCTAAATTACAGAAATCCGCGACCGAATCTGCTCTCAGAACAACTTGATATTATTTCCCGTTTCTCGATTGCCAGGCGATTCCGGGATCCGTCGCGATCCTCGAGATTGCAATTTTCAGGGAACGGCAAACGGGTCGCATCTCGGGAGACGTCGCGGAGACGAGCTTGCCTCGTAAAAATCGCGACTCGAGGCGAGAGGTCACGGAAGTGAGAGACAGCGACGAACGTTGGCAAGACGGGAGAAGAGGGAAATGAGCGTGGAACACGCGAGAGAGAGAGAGAGAGAAAAGGAGAGAGAGTATCGCGGAGGCAATATAAAGGGGCAATAAAATCACGACCGCCAACAATACGGACTTGGCCCACCGCCTTCAGTTTCGCCTTATTCTCTGCTTCGCGTTTTCTCCGCTTCTCCTCTTCGTTCCTCCGCTTCTTCCTCCTTCTCTCTTCCGCTCCTCACCTTGCTCCGCCATCGGAGAATGCGCGGCCTAGGTCAATTCTAGGTCTTGCCGCATAGTCGGACTTCGGTTGCGGCAACTCCGATGCGAAAGTTTTGAAATTTCTACTTTACGATATACAACGGCAGAGCCCATCGGGAAATCGACCTTCATCGGAGTTGGAGGACCGAGAGGAAATTTGGAAAAAAACTACACAGTCACTTTCTTCGCAACTTCGTGTTTGCGAGGCGCGATTTACATCCAGAGAAACTGTTAAAACGAGACGACTAGCCGTTCTTGAGAAATTGCATGAGAAAAGCAAAATAAATCCGGAATAAACTTGGCAAAAAGCCACGCCAAAATTCACGACAGAAAGAGACAACACCTTGAATATTCGCAAATTTGTTTTTACGTTTTTTTATGCGCGATGCAAATTCTTAAAAGTCGTAACTAAATTCGGAAAAACGCGTAGAAATGCGAAAAAGTATCGATCGTTTCTTCCGAATCGTATGTTTGCAATAACATTAATTGATTCTTTGTGATTAACTTTTTTTTTCAAGTGTATATGCGTGTGAAAGGATATATAGGTAATACATTCTTCTGCCTTGCCAGTACTGATATTCGTGAAAGGACATCCAGTAACACACGCACCGCTGCTTATAAACCGCAACGTTACTTTATGAATTCTAAATGTGCATCTATTTAGCATTTATTACACCCATAAATGCCAACTAATACAAACACTAATGAGACCGTAACAGAATGCGAATAACGTCGGGTTAATGCAAATGTAGGGACAAGCACTCTTCAAGGTGAATTATCATTAGAAAAAGTTGCAAGTGGGACATCGATCGACGTGAAATGTGATTAATTTCAATTCTCGTCGCGCGAAGAGACACTTCCTAGAAGACGGTCCGTGGAAGGAGCAAAAGGAAGACGACGAGGAGTCGTTGAACACAGAGCGGAAGAGAACACGGAGAGAGACGGTGGAGAACGGTGGGCGCCACTGTCTCGGCACGAGTGCACCGAGGAGTCATTGATACCCGAGGCACGATCGGTCGGGCGCCCGCTATACGCTATTATGCGGGTAATGACGGGTTAGCTAACCAACTTGTAATAGCGTGCATCACACAACTCCGCACACGGCAGCGTAACACAATGTTTACGGCCGCCGGCCGTAGAAAACTATCGCAAAAATGGAAATATTATCGTGAAAAAAAAAAAAAAAAAAAAAAAAATCCACGCACGCGGAGTTATATTTCAACAATATCGATGCCGATATTTCGTTCATTTAATAACAACGGCCGACCGAGCGCGTCTGGCCATTATAAAAGAGCAAAAAGGTATTTTTATAACACAAATGAAAAATATTTCAATAAATATCGAAAGTTGATATCAGGTGTGTTTCATAAAGAAAAAAAAAATCGTGGCAGGCAGGTGCCGACGCTCACTTTTGATATAAAATAATTGGGAGAGAGCGCGGCGAGAGAGGAGGTTTGAATCGAGAGATAAAAGGGCAGATCCTCTACACACGCGTCACGCGCTTCTCCAAATATGGCCACGCCAATTGCAACTTAAATCCCCATCGAGCATCCCAATGATGATCAGTCATCGCTTTGCCTCGAAACGTTATTAAAACGTAAGCCTAAAGCCGTCGTGATCGCGCGCACACTCGCTGAAAGCCCGGGCGTATTATATGCATGGATAACCGAGCATCCGGATAATAACAGTCCCATTCACTTTGAATAATTTGCCGGCGTTTCGAAGTCCGGCGTGCTAACCAGAGAGACCTCCCTCGAGCGTTTTCTCTCTCTCTCTCTCTCTCTCTCTGTTTTTCTCACATACACATACGTACCATCTCGTTCAGAAAACTTTCGATTCTCGTACGTCGTTATTAAGCGTACTTCGTAATTAGCCGCTGCTAATAACTCACACGGATTCGCGCGCGCGCGCGCGCGCGTGCACACACACACATATACAAACACGTGCAAACGGCGGGAGAATGACAGAGGGTGGAAGAGAAGGAAAGATGGAGACGCGACGGCAGGCGGCCCCAAGAATGCCATTGTGCTTTACAATATCCACGAGCTATGAGCGAGGTTATTAAAGGGCTGAGGTCGCGCCTAAGGTTAAGGGGAAAAGACGGCTTGCGGAGAACTTACCCTCCCCCAAGAGCGAGAGAGAGAGAGAGAGAGAGAGTGAGAGAAGGAGAGACGCTTTCTCCTCGCACAGGTTAAACCACACGCGATTTACACTCGCTCGTGCTCGCGTTCTCGCACGCGAGCTGCGCGTGTGCTTTCATACAGGAACGTCGAAAATACGCGAGCCCCGAGATCAAAGCTGTGCAGACCCCGACCTAACCAGGAAGGATGGCCGGGTATATGTATATGCGTGTGGCGCTCCACCACGGGAAGGGAGGAGGTGGCTGACGCGATGAAAATGCGCTTTATAAGACCAACGGGTTGGGATAATCGGGAGGCTTTTTTTTTTTTTTTTTTTTTTGCACCTTTCGCCTACTCGCGAGAAAACGACGAGATTTAAAGCTGAGTGTTATTTTACAGTCGGCTGCGTTCGCATAATCGCGATTATCCACGCGCGCTAAAACACGGAATCTTCGCGCACAAAATGAATAAAAAAAAAAAGCAACATGCGAGGTAGAAATAAAGTATTTTTATTTGTTTAACGCGACGCGCTTTCGGTAAGTAAAGCGGGATCTCAGAAAAGTTTTTCGTCTCTCGCGCACATCATCCGGAACTCTTCGTTTCGTTCTTTTGCTTTCGACGGTGTAGTTGTTTCGATTGAAATTCAATTTTTCAAGACCGCAAAGCTGTGCTGGCCGAATTTTATACATTTCTCGTATAAAAAAAAAAAAAAAAAACGAACTGCCGATTCGAGTAATAAATAATAACACACTTTTGCTAACGTATCGTTGCTTCGATTGCGTTCACGCTCCAAGAAGCAGACCTGCTTGATAACGATGAAAAATGTTCGGCATTCGACTTCTTACATTTAACTGCACAGATACGCGCTAACGGAATAGGAAACGTGCATATATACACCGATATTACGATCTTGTAAATGTTCGCTTCGTCGACATCAAGATGAGAATATAAATTTCTTCAAACAAATAAATTCTCCAAAAAAAATGAATAACGACCGCGTTAAAACTTTCTCGCGCGCTCGAAACGTTTAAACAAAATTGCACGTCACTTTATTCTTCTTTATTGACCGTCACTTGCTGACATATTTATTTAATTACACACGTCATATCTCGAACAAATTCAAAGAATTTGAAATCAATTAGAAGTGCGCAAACAAAGTAAACAAAGATACTTGATAAAATGCGGAATATCAATCTTTGTTTTTTTTTTTTAAATTTCCAAAAAGATCAAAGTTCAAGAAATTAAAGTCCGCTCGGTGCAAAACAACTGATACGTTCAAATCTCTTTCCTGTAAATAAACAAAAATTATTGAACACGAGAGAAAAATGAACTTTGCCTTTTTAATGTAAAAAAATAATTTTTTAATGCAAACTTTTACAAGTGGATGTAAGTGTAAAATTCTTAACGATTTTCCTTTTAAATCTTTTTTCTATCAAAGATATTTGCTCCTTAAGGTTAACGATACCGGAAAGATCGAAGCATCGCGGTAACTGGGACGTGCTTGCGTCAGACGCGTCAGCAGGTGCGTCGTCAGCACGCCATCATGACGCGCTATCGTATTCGCTAGATTGAGTGAACACTGACCTTGCGAAGAAGGCCGCGGCTGCGCTGGCCTGCGCCGGCGTCCCGGGTACTCCGCTCACGTTGTACGAGTACTTGGTCTCCTGGTACACCTGATAAGCGCTCGACGGCTTCGAATGCGACGATCTGTGATAGTAATGATCGCTTCCGTGATGACTCTTCTCCGACTGCTGACCGATCTTCGCAAGACTGTAGCTCTGAGCGATCGCCGCGGACGAGGACGGCAATTTGCTGTGACACTTGTCGCTCTTCTCATAAGCGGCGGGAACATGAGGATGCGATTTCTCGTGCGCGGACACCAACGCGGACGTCGGTTGCTTGTCGACGGTACCGTAAGACTTGAAGTCGCCGTAACCCTTCAACTCGCCGTAGTAACGCAGATTCTCAACCTTGTAACCGTGCCCGACATCGTGGCTCTTGGCCTTGCTGACCTCGTGCTTGTTGTAGCCGGCCTCCTGCGAGGTCGACTTCATTCTCTCCGCGCCGCACTTGCCGATTGCCGACTCGCCACCGCCAGCGTGCAAAATCGTCTTTCCTGTGAGTTTTTCGATCTTCAGCATGGATCTCTCGCACGGGCGACCTTGAACCGCGTCGCCACTGCCGCACCGATTCGAATCCGACCCGGTGCCCTTGTACTTGTCGCACGTTGTTATCTCGCTGCCGCTGTCCGAGAAAGCATTACCAACGACGCCGCTACCGACAAAGTTAGTGCCACCGATTCCGCGAGTCTGATGCTGCTGCTGCTGCTGCTGCTGCTGCTGATGATGATGATGATGATGACTCTTTAGCGGCTCGCACGAGACGTGACATCGAGAAGACGTGTCGCAATCATCGCCGGTCTCCTGTAGCAGGTTTTCCTTGCTGTTGTTATTGTTGTTGCTGTTGGTACCGCGCACGTCGCACGTCTTGTGAGAGAGCCGTTGTCGCGTGATCACGACGCGTGTTGCTTCTCGCGCGGTCGGCGTGATACTGGCCAGATTAGAGGGCGTCTCGGCGCCATGAGTGCCGGTGTTCCCCCTTCCTGCTCCGGAATTACCGCCACCGCCGCTTACGCCGCCGCCCGCGCCTCCACTGCTACCTTGTCGTCTACCCTTCTCCTCCTGTCGAATGATAACGCGACATAGTAGTCGGCGTGTAGTACTACGATTCATGCGCACTTCGCCGTTAATATACTGGATGTGCCGCCGCTCGCCACGTGAGAACGGACGAGAGAACGGAGCAATAATCTATTAAAACGCGCGAGATCATTTTTCGAGAACCACAGTTTCAAAAACTTGAATCTAACGTTCGCGAACATTACTTCGATTTATTTTAATATTTACTCATTTTAATATTTTTACGTATATATATATATATATAGTAAATTTGAAATAATTTCACATGTATATATGTATCGTAAACATCTTGATCGATAAGGAGTAGCGCGTACACGTTGCCGGTCAAGTTTCAAAGGTACGATAAGAGCGGTAAGAGAGAGAGAGAGAGAGAGAGAGAATTTCCTACACGCTACGGCTTACCTGGATCCTCTTAAAGTCCTCCTGCCGTCTGGACACTTCCGAATACTTGGGCGGATCGGCGTGATACTTGGGCGGCGGATCCGATCTTGGCAGAGTCTCTTGATAGCGCGGCGGTCTGTCGAACTGTCGATACTTTGGCGGATCGATGTATGGATTATTCCGATGCCCATAGTAATTCGGCAGCTGACACTCCGTGAGGTCCGACTGCGACCGATTCAGCTGATGGCAGTCTGACGTTGGCGCGTTCGTCAGCGTCTTCTGCTGCTGCTGCTGCTGCTGCTCCTCATGACTCTGCCTGACGTGCTTCGTAATCTGCGATTTCTCCTGACAACCAACATGAGATTTGTCGTGCGACTTGGTTCCTTTATCGGCGCGTTCCTTGCCCACCTCGGACTTCTCTTTCTTTTCGTGACCGGAGAGAGGTCCGTCGATCTCGTAAAAGGTCAGCTCCTTCTTCAGCTTTTGATGCGATTTGTCATGTTGTTGTCGTGTGTTCTCCGATTTCACAGGCGGTTCGATCTGATAGAACGTGAGCTCTCGAGGGTCCTGTGACTTGGAACGCGTCTCCTGAGACAGGTGGTGCTGCCGTTCCGGCTGTGAGTGACTGCGGGAGTACCGCTGATCGAGTCTCGAACAGTCTTGATATTTCGATCGCGCGAATCGTTCGTTCGCACCGAGTCTGTGCCCGTATTCGAGATACTCGTCGCCGTACTTGAATATCTGCCGCGGTTTGTACTTTTCCTCGAATTGCGAATAATTGTACGTGTTGAATCCGACCTGATTGAAGTTTCTGCTGAGATTCGTGGAGTTGTAGTCGGTCGATGTAACCGCTTCCATGTTTATCTGTGAAACAAATCAAACAAATATTTAAAATTTATACAACCTGTTTTCCATTCGCGAGAAACGTCTCTTTCGTGTTAAGTTTTATCGTTAAATGTAGCGTTAAACTTTAATTCTACCTCACAGAGAGTTAACAATCGATGTATCTTTTGACGCAGACGAGATGCCAGCGGCAGATAAACCACGGAAGAACGAGTATCCTCTCAAAGAATCCGCGTGAAACGCACGACGAGAGTCGAGAGAGAGAGAGACGAAGAGACGCAAGAAGAAGCCTGAACTCGAGGCAACGACGGCGGCCATAAATCGGGGAAGCCCGTCTTCTTAAATGCCGGAGTATTTAGCGCGAAACAAAAAGCCGCCGTGAGATAAATAAAATCTGACACCAGGAGGGCGTGCCATCGCTATCCACCATCGTCGTGTCCTGAATAAAGCCTCTTTCGCTTTAACGTACGAAGGGGAACAAAAATAACGTGCAAGAAGAGCCCCCGTCGAAAGAGCCCGAGAGAGGGTTGAAGGAGTCTCCTGTCCGAAAAATCAAGCCGAGGAGACCGGTTTACGCTTCGAAAACAGATAACAATAATCCGTGCGCAATCCGTTTCCAGGAATATTAATTTCTTCAGTTATCATAAAGATAATGTAAAGTTTTCTTAGAAAAAATTTGAATTTAAGTTTGAACTTGATATTAATCAATAAAAAGTCCGCGGACAGAAGAAAGCGTGAATAACACTCGAGACACCCCATATATATATATATATATATATATATATATATATACACAAGGAACCGCTTTCAGAACCGATGTGTTCGAGATCACATGCGATTTCGCTTTCTTCCCGCGCAAACCCTTATCCAAAACGCTACGAGGCATGATGAACAACCGGAGATGTCAGAGCGCGATTAGCCGCGGCGACTCCGCGAAAGTCGGTTTGCAAAGCCGACCGAATAACGTTCCCCGTCTTCGTTCTCGGTAACGAAGGAATGTTTGATCCGAGGTGTAGATTGGTCGCGCGAGTTAAGAGAACGAGAGCCGCGGAAGTTATTGATCGCAACTTTCGCAGGAACGATCCGCGCGTTTTCTCTGATCCGGTTTCTGCGAATCACCCGGTATATACCGAGAGTTCCGACACTTCGTAATTCGCGCTCTGCGAATTGAGGATGGCCCTGCGGGGCTGCGGTTATATATTACAGGTGGTAATAAAGACTCTCTCTCTCTCCGCGGCAAAAGAGCAGCGAGCTACCGACGAGGCCTTGTTTATCGCCTCACCTCAAATATACAATTAACATGTTCCCCCGCCCGGGGATAGCGGGAATATCGCGCTTCCATCTTCTTCTTCTTCTTCTTCTTCTTTCTTCCCCTCTGCCCCGCGCCGCGCGTTTTCTCAATCTTCCTTCTTTCCTTCCTTCCTGCCAATTTCTTCAACCCCTTTTTTTCAACGCAAAGAAACAGCGCGCGCGGCAAAAGATCGAAGTTGACTCGCACCTTTCACTTTTATTATCGCGGAGCTCGTTAGCGCCGACGTTCCGAGAATGTTAACTCGGAATTCGTCGCTAGAGGGAATTTACTGTCCTCTCTCTATTTTTGCTCGCGTAACTTTGCTCGTAACGTGAAAATGTGCGCGACGCCGTCTGCAGTAAATCCTAATGGAGTATGACGTATAATTAATATGCTCATTCTTCAATTTGTCTAGCGCTTAGTTCACGACGTTATTATCTCGCGGAATGATAAACTCGATTTTCCACGCTATTTACATTCCCATTCTTCGGTCGCTTGGACCGTGGCGGATGCGGAGTCGGTGGATGCGCGAATGTCGGATATAATAATTTAGCAGCGATCTAATTATTTGGAAAATCAGATTTTGTTTAATTCACCTCCAACGTATTTATCCGTCGAGATAAATTGGAGGCTTTACGTTTTGCGCTTTAAAAGCATTTGCGCGCGGGATATACACGCATCAGAAATAAATGCGACTGCTGCGTAAACATCGTCGTTTTAAAATTTATAACAAATAAATATGCAAACGAATAAAACGTGCCTCGTCGTATCAATAACGCCGAGAGTTTTGGACTATCCCTCTGTCCCCGGTGGATTATTCGATCCTGTTTATCGCATAAATCCACTGACAGATATAAAAAATATTGTTACGACAGACGTCGAGATATAAAATATCGTCGTCGCATGTCGAATCCGCGTGCGCGCGCGATTTCTCGAAGCAATAAAAAAAAATCCGTTTACTCGACTTGTATGCGCGCGCGTGTGACGGAATATTCTGAATAAAATATATGACGCGCCGTTGACCCCGATACGAAGACGCCATTTTACCGCGATAATGCCGAATGACGCATGTATTATTACATATCATTAAGGAGAAAAGCCGTTAGGCATACCTGTGACTTGCATTTTGCCAAACAAATTTTATATTCACATGTAAAAAAAACGCGTACGTGTATTCGCGTGTGTGAAATCCTCGCGCAATAAATGCTCATGCAATCTTTCATTTGGATGTTACAACTTTGAATATTTTTTACATTATTCTCTCTCGTTGTAAATATCTTAACGTAAAATCACATATATTTTTGTAAAAAAAAAAACACACAATATTTTTGTAATTCCAAATAAATCTTTACGTAATATTATTAAACTTTTACACACCATATTTATACTTAACCGCGCTAGCAAATTATATAAATCGTTTAATTGACAATTAATAATCAAAACATCCTACGAAGCGCAACGAACTATCTCCAGGTGTGTATCGAAACTGACTGATTTGTTCAACAGATTTTTTTTTACAAAACATAAGCCGTACAATGTCCGAGAAATTGATAAATGCACTCCTCATTCGTCTTCATCATTCATTTACAGTTTAGCAGATGTGTTCCGATGGTAATGAAAGCATATAGGAAACGATCGCACGGCGGAGCCGCAATCTATAACTCATTTCGTTGCATAATTTGGCAAACCTAATCGCTCTACGGGGTGTCGAACCAAATCGCACGCTCGGATCATCATAAATATTAATAGAATCTTTTTTTTTTCAGGTCAGGTTTCGGAAGAAGATAATCATGTTGTTTACGCTGCCAATAACAAGCTCCGTCGTCGTCCGACAACGTGGGCCTCGTTTCGAAATGCGGACCCCCATAATTACGGGTGTTGCTAAAATTCTCCCGGTGCGGCAGTTGATGTGCTCTGTGTTACGAGAGAGGTGTTCGAAATAACCTCGCGCGTTCCTCATTAGATCGACGCGTGAAAATTACAGCGATCGGCGGATTAATCGAGCCAACGCACATATTTCGTGCGGAATCATGTTAATGAAAAAATTACATCAGCGAGATCGAAAGTGTTACGACAATAATAATACATGCGGATAATTAAAGGTATATTCTTGAAGAGAGCGATGTTAAAGTCATTTTAGCGCAAACGATATTTTGATATGGGAAAACGAGAATTTGATTTGACTGTGACTTGCCAGAATTTGGGATATTAAAAGAAAGAAAAACGGATTTCGAAACTTCTACAATGGTCCAGATTTTTATTTGTTCGCTGACTTTTAGCCAGCTAAAAATTGCAACTGCGCAAAGAAACCCACGGAGTTTGGAGCAAATCTCGCTCTGTCTTTTTCTTCAATTTCGAAATTATTAATTTAACCGTTCCCCTTTAACGTTACCGCGCCCGCGGCTAATATCTCCCCCGGAGACAAAATGCGCCCGCGATAGAAACTGCCAAATAAAAGAGACAAAAGCACGAAAAGAGAAAGATGAGAGAAGACCGTGGAACAAATAGAGACGGAAAAAGAGAGAGAGAGAAAGAGAGAAGAGACAAAAGCAGTGAGAGCGCAGCGGTACCCTTGGTTACCGTGTAAATGAGGCGACGAACAAAGTTCCGCGCGCAAATACCAAATAAAGGTGAGTAACGCGGTTAGTTCCGGCCGCGTGACTGCTCATGAGAATGTCGAATGACAAACAACCGAGTTAGAAGGGACGAAAGTGATTTTGCCTGCAAAATCTACACGGCTCGGAGAGCTATAGGAGATAAGAATATATGGAGGGAGCTCAAAGTATTATCAAGAAACGCGAGATATAAAACTAGTGGGATGAAGGAAAAGAGACTTTGCGGCCGATCTTGCATCAGATCAGATTTAACGCGGATTTGGCATATTTTCCTGATGTGGGACCTGATCGCAATCGAAGCATCTCGCTGCGCTTTGAAGAAAGGAACAATGTTTCGGGAGGATTTTTTTTAATGAGTGCTATATAACGTGCGTGCTCGAAACGCAAAAAAATCAAAAATATTGATTGAAACAATTTCGTAAAATTAACCACCGCGGTTCTTAAATGATATCCGCTTAAACGATCACATCTGCTTTACCGGACATTTTATTTTCCTCATTTCGAACTTTTGTTCCCCGCAGCAATGAACTTCATAAAATTTTTACTTCCATAGAGAAGAGAATCTGTTCAATTTTTCATGCACGTAGTTTATTGCAATTTATAATGCGAAATAATTTCTTGGTTTTTTTTTTATTTTTCGAAGTTTTTGTGGAATTTTAACAATTTTCTGACAGCTTAATTTTAACGAGAACGAACCGACTATCATTTTCTCTGTGTGCGCTTCGCGGAGTAGTATGGCTTTGGTTTTTGTTGTTTTTTTTTTTTTTTTGTGCCGATTTAATTAAGCTCCCGAAACACACGGAGCAAATGTTAAATCTCCGACTATTTCGCAACAGCAGCGTCAGCATGTAGCGACGTATATATATCTAAATTGAGCCGGTCATATAGCGCGCAAGAGAGTCACGAGTATTATTTAAAACTAACCGCAGCTGAAAAGTACACGGCGATGTGCGGTGTTATAACTGAATTTTCTGTTCCCCGGGGGAATATCAGAGACGGCACATCCGATTTTCACGGCGGACTGACCTGCCTCAATGCCGTCCGCCCCACCACCAATCAAATTAGAAACGCTCGGTTGAACGACCGAATGAGAATCTTTGGTCGTTTTGTCACTC